TGTCCCTGCCTGACACCGACTGTTCCTGTCTGGCACCGACTGTTCCTGTCTGGCACCGACTGTCCCTGTCTGACGCCGACTGTCCCTGTCTGACACCGACTGTCCTTGTTTAACGCCGACTGTCTCTGCCTGACACCGACTGTCCCTATCTGACACCGGCTGTCCCAGTCTGACGCCGACTATCCCTGTCTGACGCCGACTGTCCCTGTCTAACACCGGCTGTCCCTGTCTGACACCGACTGTCCCTGTCTGGCACCGACTGTCCTTGTCTAACACCGGCTGTCTCTGTCTGACACCGACTGTCCCTGTCTGAGACCGACTGTCCCTGTCTGACACCGACTGTCCCTGTCTGACACCGGCTGTCCCTGTCTGACACCGACTGTCCCTGTCTGACACCGACTGACGCCATCTGTCCCAGCCTGACACCGACTGACGCCATCTGTCCCTGATGCCGACTGTCCCTGTCTGAGACCAACTGTCCCTGTCTGACACTGACTGTCCCTGTCTGACACCGACTGACGCCATCTGTCCCTGTATGACGCCATCTGTTCCTGTATGGCACCGACTGACGACACCTGTTCCTGTCTGACGCCATCTGTTCCTGTCTGACACCGACTAGCGCCATCTGTCCCTGTCTGACACCGACTGACGCCATCTGTTCCTGTCTGACACCGATTGACACCAGCTGTTCCTGTCTGACACCGACTGACGCCATCTGTCCCTGCCTGACACCGACTGACGCCATCTGTCCCTGCCTGACACCGACTGACGCCATCTGTTCCTGTCTGACACCGACTGACGCCATCTGTTCCTGTCTGACACCGACTGACGCCATCTGTCCTTGTCTGACACCGATTGACGCCATCTGTCCCTGTCTGACACCAACTGACGCCATCTGTCCCTTTCTAACACCGATTGACGCCATCTGTCCCTGTCTGACACCAACTGACACCATCTGTCCCTGCCTGACACCGACTGACGCCATCTGTCCCTGCCTGACACCGACTGATGCCATCTGTCCCTGTCTGACACCGACTGACGTCATCTGTTCCTGTCTGACACCGACTGACGCCATCTGTCCCTGCCTGACACCGACTGATGCCATCTGTCCCTGTCTGACGCCATCTGTCCCTTTCTGACACCGACTGACGCCATCTGTCCCTGCCTGACACCGACTGACGCCATCTGTTCCTGCCTGACACCGACTGATGCCACCTGTCCCTGTCTGACACCGACTGACGCCATCTGTTCCTGTCTGACACCGACTGACGCCATCTGTTCCTGCCTGACACCGACTGACGCCATCTGTCCCTGCCTGACACCGACTGACGCCATCAGTCCCTGCCTGACACCGACTGACGCCATCTGTCCCTGTCTGACACCAGGTTCGATTGTCAGAAAATTCTTGGAAAAGTCATCCTAACGTATATGAAAAAGATGATGATGAAGGTGAAGATGATGAAAAACAAGAAAAAGGTGTTGAGGATGAAGAAGAAATTAAGAAAATAAAATAACGAAATAAAAACAAGAATGAAAAAAGGAATATTCATTGCTCAGTATTAACATTTGTCTGGCCGATGATAGTAAAGGAAGAGAACAGAAAACAGGAAAAAAAAAAAAAAAAAAATGTAGATTACACCATGGTGTCTTGGGAGAAAATTCTCCCATTTTTTTTTTTCTCGCCGGCCATAAAGGCATGACGCGACGTACAGTGAATATCTCATGAATAAAATTAATTGCTCACCCAGTCTCTCTCTACCCTTCCCGCCCAAATAAATGGCACCGCGTTGGGGATGACGAAATGGTAGTCAGTTGCATCAGCGGTGGGGGGTGGGGCTGGCAAGGGGTGTGAGTGGTACCCCTGCCCTGTCCACTCCCTCTGTCGGCAAACCTTTTTATCACATCGTGTCATAGCTCAGTGGTAGAGCGCTGGCTTTGCAATCGCAAGGTCCCGGGTTCGCGCCCGGCCGCCGCCCCTCTCAGTCGACTCAGCTGTGAATGAGTACTGATATGCTGACGTCAGCATGTGGGGTCAAAGTCGGGGCGGAAAGGAACTTGCCACCCTACCGCATCATCCCGCGGCCTAGTCAGCATGTTTCTCTACGAACATACCCCCTACGTTCACATGGACAAAACAAAAAACAAAAAAACAAAAAACAAAAAAAAAATGTTCCAAAGGTCTGTTGAATTTCCAATCACTTGTGATATCTCGATCATAATTTAGCTACAGTCAGTGTAGGTTATGAATAGAATATATACACTTCCCACAATGCTGTATTCATTATATTTTTCTTTTTTTGTAGTGTATATCATTTATATTATGCATGTACTTTCTTGTACTGATGTTCAGTGATGCATTATTGGTGCAAGTTGTTGATTTTTAAAAACATACCTTTAGTTTCTTCCTTTCTTTTTTTTAATATGTTCAATATTGGTTTGAAGTGAAAGAAACTGATAAACAAATTGACTGTAAATCTTTAAGTATATCGTAAGTCTTAAATTGAGTAGGGCTTTATCCCGTCCTACCTTCAGTTCTGACGACATCATTCGTCCAACATATACATACATACATATATGTACACACACACACACACGCACACACATATCTATCTATCTGTATATAGGCACATATATAAATTTGCATGTATATGTGTCTGTGAGTGTGTATAGACATACCTACATCCACACACACACACACACACACACACACACACACACATATATATATATATATATATATATACATATATACATATATATATACATATATACATATATATATATATATATATACATATATATATATATATACATATATATATATATATATATATATATATATATATATATATATATATATATATAGATATATATATAGATATAGATATAGATATATATGTACACACACACACACACACACACACACACACACACACACACACACACACACATATATATATATACATATATATATATATATATATATATATATATATATATATATATATATATATATATATATGTGTGTGTGTGTGTGTGTGTGTGTGTGTGTGTGTGTGTGTGTGTGTGTGTGTATACATATATATCTATATCTATATCTATATCTATATCTATCTATCTATCTATCTATCTATCTATCTATCTATCTATCTATCTATCTATATATATATATATATATATATATATATATATATATATATATATATATATACATAGTAATGAGAGAAAGAGAAAGAGAGAGGGATAGGAAAAGACGGAAAGAGAGAGAGAGAGAGAGAGAGAGAGAGAGAGAGAGAGAGGGAGAGGGAGAGGGAGAGAGAGAGAGAGAGAGAGAGAGAGAGGAAGAGAAAGATAATAAATAGAGATAGTAAGACAAATAGGAGTGAGAAAATGAGAAAGAGAGACGGTGTGAGAGATTTTGTATTGATTAAGAAATGGGAAAGATGCGTATGTGTGTGTATTGTATATATATATATGTATATATATATATATATATATATATATATATATATATATATATATATATATATATGTATATATGCATATGTATATATATATATGTATATATATATATATATATATATATATATATATATATATATATATATATATATATATATATATATATATATATATATATATATATATATATATATATATATATATATATATATATATATATATATATATATATATATATATATATATATATATATATATATATATATATATATATATATATATATATATATATATATATATATATATATATATATTTCCGTCTTTTCCTCTCCCTCTCCCTTTCTCTCTATTACTATTGTTATTACTATGATTCCTGTTACTGTTTATTACTGTCATTACAGGTGTTCAATGAAAGGGAAAGCAAATACTCACGTGGTTCCAATCCTCAGAAATATGTTGACACAGTTATGGCATCACTGAGCGACATACCACTGGCTTCCGGAGTTCAAACTTTCACATATATTGATGAAAACATTTATTATTCATCAGTGATATGAATTTTGAGCTCACTTGATTCTCCACCACCACTTTCTAAACAGAAATTTCCTACACATAATGATTTTATATTTCCGACAGATAATGAGATGTTGCATCAGATTGCGTCATTTTAATAGTTTTAATAGAGTATTTAATATATTCTCTCTCTCTCTCTCTCTCCCTCCCTCCCTCCTTCCCTCTCCCTCTCCGTCACCCCCCCTCTCTCTCACTCACTCATTCTCTCTCTCTCCCCCTCTCTATCTATCTATCTATCTCCCTCTCCCTCTCCCTATCCATCACCCCCCCTCTCTCTCCCTCCTTCCCTCTACCTCTCCGTCACCCCCCTCCCTCTCTCTCTCTCTCTCTCTCCCTCTCCGTCACCTCCCTCTCTCTCGCTCTCTCCCTCTCCCTTTCCCCTTCTCTCTCTCAATCTCCATTTCCCCCTTTTCCTCCCCGTCTCCCCCCCTCTCTCTCTCCCTCTCCGTCCCCCCCTCTCTCCCTCTCCCTCCTCCCCTTTCTCTCTTCCTCTCCACCCCCCCCCCCCCATCTCTCTCCAACAAAACACGAAGCCAAACAGAGTCAGGAAATCACACGAAGGAAATGCACGTCACACTTTAGGAAAATTTTATTCTGTAATGATATGGCTCCTGAAGGTTTATGTGTTGCTTGACTTGACATACTAATTTATCTGTCTATTTGTCTATTGGTATTTCTATTGATTTATCTATTCATCTGTCTAATATATATATATATATATATATATATATATATATATATATATATATATATATATATATATATATATATATATATATACATACACATAAGCCTTGATATTTGGCGTGATTTCACCATCTCAAGCACACACACTCTCTCTCTCTCTCTCTCACACACACACAAACACACACACAAATATATATATATATATATATATATATATATATATATATATATATATATATATATATTGAAGAAACTATGAATGAAAAGAAAGTCGATGATAAAGAACTTGTTCTATACTTTTATTTCTCATTACAAGTATTACAAATAAACGAAACGAATTTACTTAATCATCTTATAACCTATGCTAAGCACATATTAATTTCTGTAATCGACATCTTGTAATCTACATCAATACAAATCATCCGCTGCTTTTCTGTGCGTCGTCTTCTTTGAATGACGAAATGTTTATTGTCGTTCTACCTTTGAGAAATGAAAGAAAGAAAGAAAAGAAAAACCGGAAAAAAGCACATCCACATGCCTTGTTTTTGGCTTCGTCGTCAAAACGAACGACACAAAACCGCAAACACACTTCAGATAAAGCAGTTTACAACGGAAATAGGCCCTAATAAAGAGAAACAACTGGGCCAGTCACTTTGTCCCTTTTTTATGTCAATTCGAAAGGGTTAAACGCACGATCGGATATTTTATCTTCTTATTTAATATTTTGATCGAAAGCGACCCAGTTTTTTACCCAATATTTTAGTTTGGTCAACTGCCTATTCTAGTGCTTTTTTGACATCAATATTACTTAATGAAGAAATTAACTTTTATAGAAAAGGGTATTGTCTCCACTAATAAAGGAAGATGACACAGTAATACATTAGAAAATAAATACTGAGGAATTAAGTGAATGCATAATGTCCCTTTTTAATGGTTATAACAGCATTCTAGCAAGTATAGGATCATCAGTGAAATGGAATTTTAATTTCTTTTATCTGGAGAAATATATTTTACATTTTAGTTTGACTTGATGTATTCTGCATCAGAAAGGGTTTCACGACAAAAGGAAAAAACATTGAATGGCAAAATAACTGGCGAAAATAACCAAACTTTTTTTTTTTCATCGTGACCATTTTTTCATTTATCTTAAAATTCATGATATGTACTTCCCAATTATATGAAAATCTGTGCACTTTTTGTTCATTTCGATAAGCTCTTTTTTTGCACTTAGAAAGGGAAATTTTGTATTATCATTACCATCATTATCATTATTACCATTATTGCTATCATTATAATTATTAATATCATTATCATCATTATAATTATTAATATCATTATCATCATTATAATTATTAATATCATTATCATCATCATTATAATCACCATTAATTTACTTTCAACCTTTATCCTGTGTTAGAATGAAAATACATTAATTACTAACAAGTAGAGGAAGATTGAAAATAACTGTATCCAACATACGAGATTTCAGACAATTGCTGCAGAGGCCCCCTTCTGATGTACAGGATAAGGCACGAAATCACGTTCTTCGTTTCTGCCCTTTCTCAATCTGGACCTGTCTTCTGTGGGCAAAAATGACTCTCTTTCTTTTTTTTTGTCTCTCTCTCTCTCTCTCTCTTTTCCTTCTCTTTCTCACTCTTCTTTCCAAGGTGTTAGGACAAGGTTAACCCCGTCTCTTGGCCGCAGCAAACCAAAGCCAAAGTCAAATTTAATCTCTTCGTGTCCTGGTGCCAACTTCATGTCTGTGGCAAGGAGCATCTTGGCCAGACCCACTTTGGCTTCCATGAGGGCAAATCTCATCGCTGCAAGGAAAGCGAAGGGATTTATTATTCATTAGGTATGGGGACTATACTATCTATTGTTAGTAGAGAAAGCCAGAGAGAGAAAGAAGGGGAGAGGGTGGGAGGGAGGGAGGGAGGGAGTTAGGGAGAGAGAGAGAGAGAGAGAGAGAGAGAGAGAGAGAGAGAGAGAGAGAGAGAGAGAGAGAGAGAGAGAGAGAGAGAGAGATTGAGAACGAGAAAGAGAGAAAAAGACAAAACGATATTATTCAAAACCAATCTCACTCCTAGATCCCAGGTTACCTCACCTATACAGTTCCTGGGTCCGATTCCGAAGGGAATGTGCGTGAGGTGGGTGATGTTCGCCTTGTTCTCCGGCAGGAAGCGCTCGGGCCGAAATTCCTCGGGCTCAGGCCAGTACTTCGGGTCCCGGTGGATGTTGAAGATCGGGCTGGTCACTATTACGCCAGGCTCGATGGTCACGTCCGTGTCAGGGATCCTGCAAGGATTTGAGGTTAGTCCTTTACCTTTTTCTGCGCGCCTTTAGAAAATTAGGCGGCAGTTCGTTTCATATTGTTTATATATATATATATATATATATATATATATATATATATATATATATACATATATGTGTGTGTGTGTGTGTGTGTATATACAGTACATATATGTTTGTGTATTATATACATACATATATATATATATATATATATATATATATATATATATATAGATGCATTTATATACATATATAAGTATATGAGTATGAATACATATATGTTTATATACATATGCCTATATATACATAAATACATATATATGTATGTTTTTTTTCAATAGCCATTTATTCCACTGTAGAACTAGGCCTAATTCACTATTGAGAGTATATGTGGCAGTGCCACCTTTGCCTGATTGGATGCCCTCCCTAATCAACCGCGATTCGGCACGCTAACGCTTGTGCCACGGTGGCAACTTCCCCTACGACACCTGGGTTGACTTATCAAGGCGGGGAATTGAACTCCAGTGCTCTAACCACTGGACCATCGTGGCAGTTATGTGTGCATATATGTATTTATATATGCGTATATAAGTATATAGATATAAATATATATACACACACGCACGAATATATATGTATATATATATGTATGTGTGTGTGTGTGTGTGTGTGTATGTCTGTCTATATGTTTGTGTGCGTTATAAACACGCACATAAATATACATATATATATGTATGAAATATATATAAAGTATATATCTAAAGTGAAATCCATTCACACAGGTACGCACGCATAGGTTACAACTAATATAGAATTATAGCATACTTGCAAAAGTTTGAGATTTGTATTTTGTATTTTGAAAAGGTCTTACTTGTATTCCTTTACACACTTGCGCTCCAGGAAAAGCCCCGGTGGGTACATACGAAGGGTTTCTGTGAAGAGAGAAATGGAAAGGTTAATCGCGCTCGGGAAAGGAAGACTTGGCAACTCATCCAGATTCTAGCATGGTTCAATTCTTCGATTCTCTTTTTTTTCATTTAAGACATTGAAGCAGAAGTTAATCTGGAAGACTTACCCATGATACAGGCATCAAGATATTTGGCTTCCATAATCCCCTGGTAGGTTATGTCGCCGTGTTCCTCGACCATTTCACTGATCTCCTGACGAAGGCGTTGCTGGATCTCTGGGTGCTTGGCAAGTAGGATGGACGCAAAGGCCAGCGTGGAGGCTGTGGTATCGTAACCGGCGACCAGGAACAAGACACTTTGGGAAATGATGGTAAGTTCATCCAGTGCTGCCAGAATGGAAAGTGTCTGCATTTTAATCACTACCTGGTGCAAGTGAGGTAAGCTGTATGATGCAAATGCTGTAAATATTATGTACACATTTTGAATTATATGATGCAAATGTTGTAAATGGTATGATGTAAATTCATTTAGTTTTAAGGTTATACTACTCACTTTGCTTAGGCTTGGATGAGGTATTGTCATCTTGCATTTCCGTGTTTCCTTCGGCATCGCCAGTAGAGACTTCTGCCTCTAGCAAGAGATCCAAAAAGTCTCCTCTTTTATTTCCACTTTGCCTCGCTCGCATGGTCTCACGGGCCACTTCCTCAAAGAAATCAACAGCTGGTGCTGTAAATCTCATGTTAAGTATCTTGGCAAGTTTAGGAAATACGCTCAGGAAAGCAATTCTAAATATAATTTCCGGTTTAATATTGAAAAAAGTCTCAACCTTTTCAGCAAATTCTGGCTTTTCATCCACTAGTGAATTGCATTCAATACCAAAGGCACAGGAAGCAATTGTGTCCATGGTGAACCGGCCAAAATTATACTTCATGTCGACAAAGGGCTTCGTGCGTGCTTCCTTCAGGCAGAAGGAGACGAGTTCGTCGGCCTTTTGGCACACGAGCGGGAACATTCCCTTCATTTTGCCTGAAGTGAAAGTGGGAGACATGATGGCTCTCAGTTTCTTCCACTCTTCGCCTGTCTTCATAGTCAACATGTTGGCCATTACTCTGTCCTTCTCGCTCGGCAAGTTTAGTATTCTTCTGTCCGTAAAGTGGTCAAAGTCCTTCACGTAAATGTGCCTCAAGAGTTCTGGATCGCCCACCAATAACATTGGTTCATGGAAAGAGTAGTAACCGCATAACTTTGATCCACCATAGTTGAGGTAGGCCTGTTAAGAGTGGTGGAAAGTATCACGAGACAATAATTTATATAAAAAAAAAAAAATGCACAATTATAACTTACTAATCACTGTGACGTACGGTGCCCAATAACACAATAGTTCACAGAAAACAATACATTTCTTACCTCTCTTTCAAAATCACACATTTTCTGTGGGATAAGCAATTTATGCGCATGACCGATGAAGGGGAGCACAGGCGGAGTGGGCACACCTTTATTTGCCCAGTATCTGTGTTTCCACCACGAATATGCCCAAAACAGTGCTAGCGCCGCACCCAACAGCAGCCATGTTACTCCAATCATCCTGGTGAGAAAATTTTCATATAAATCAAGAGGAAATCAGTGGATGATGAAGATTTTTACAGTGGGTATATGGAACACGTAAACAAGTGCGATTCATATTTTATTTATAAACTAAAAAGTGGAAGGAAGCCGCCTCGGTGGAGCAGTAACGCGCATAGCTTGGGACCAGAAGGGTCATTTAGAACTTGAGTTCGAATCCTGCCCAAGGTCCGAGGTTAGAAATGGCATCCATTCAAATCAACTTTCTCCATCTACCAGACCTTAAGTCCTTCGAAAGAAGGCACTGTCCCATCTCTTGCCAGGGGGCTCGTGACGTAATCTTATAACGTTATTATCTTTTGGAAGACAATGGATTACTTAAATGCTAAACTTATATGGCTATATATGTCTGAGGTGGCACTTATAATGTTATGACTTAGCCACAAGTTTCATTTGGTTAAATTCTTAAGCTAAGCCTGAATCATAACTAGGAGCATATCGTATGTCTATAACATAAGAACAAGTCATAAGTTGCTGTATCCTAAAACCCTGAAGCAGGCGCCGTTTAACATAGTGAGTAACTACCGAGTAACTCACTCATTATACCGAGTATAATGAGTGAGTTTGAGATCACATTAAACAAATGATTTATATATATATATATAAATAGGTATATATTATAAATCCTGATAATGCAAATACGAGTAGGTATTTATCTGGTTGCGAAATATAAATGTTTATTTTAATTAGCAATCTTCTATAAACAGAATATTTTATAGCAGTAACATGACAAATAGTGTGGCAAATGAATTTGTGCATTTTATTATATGGAAAGATACAGACTGTGTATATCGCTAAAATTATTTAAAACTAAAATTCATAAAATAAAGAAATCGTTATTGCATGGATACTTACTATCTAATGTACTTCACATTTAACCTAATTCATTCCTCAGCATCTAAAATAAAAAATAATGTCTAGTGTGCATTTATTTCAGTCCCATTATTTATTTGCAAAGAACACTAACGAATTCATCCCTATACACAAGGCCTTCGTCCCTTTCATTTTTTCCAGTGAATTCGCTGTCGCCTCAAGCAGTAGAATTGCCTAATTGTTCTCAAAACCAATCACATACAAGTTGAATATTTAATGGCTCTATCTAAACTTATAGATATAAAAATCGATATATATGTATATATACCTATACATATGAATATATATATACACACACACGCACACACACACACATACACACACACACACACACACACACACACACACACACACACACACACACACACACACACATATGCATATGCACACACAAACACAAACACACACACAGATAAAAACATACACTGTGTATATATATATTCATGTATATGTATGTATGTATATTTGTGTTTGCATATATATATATATATATATATATATATATATATATATATATACATATATATATATATATGCATATACATATACATGCACATACATACATTACACACACACACACACACACACACACACACACACACACACACACACACACACACACACACACACACACACACACACACACACACACACACACACATATATATATATATACCATAATCATAGTCGCATGGTTTCTATCCAAATATTAATCATCAGCTCTATGACATACTTTTTTACAAGGTCATGTCTATAGCATCTACTAATAAAGCACAGAGCTGTATGGTCAGGAACTACAGTTACAGCATGCTTCTGAACAATGCCGCATTGGCAGTCTCTTTAGGGTTTGGCTGCTGTCGGGAAGCGGCTGCTGACCCGAGTCACAGAGTTCTTTTTTCAGTCTGAAAACCGGGTAAAGCGTATAAGGATTTTTGAATACCCACATACTTACCAGTTGATACTTGATGTATATCAATCTTTCTGTGGTAGAATTAAGTAGTGTTCTATATCGGAATTTTAAAAATCTATGCATTGGCTGATAAGAAAATAACACGAACTGACGTCACGACATTAAAGTTAATGTGCCTGCACAAGTGAAAAAAAAAGGTACTTATGAACGCTTGGCGGAAAATTCAGAAAATATTGACTAATATCATTCATAATCATGTGCTATGCAACATCATCGGGAATTGAATTGGTATAGTTTGTGTTGGTAGAAAAAGAGGGAGATAACTATGACGACAGCGCATTTAATGACAACAGATCCTGAGAACGCGGGAAAATGGCGCGAACAAACGAAAACCCTGACCCAATATGTCATGTCTACATAGAAGTGAGAAAATTTGAAAAAATAAAGAAAATAAAATG